GAGGAGTAAGATAATTACCAGATTTTACTAATTACATGACGTAAAGTCATGATTTTATAAAGGACACGGAGGCGAGTATTAGGCTTATCTCTTTCTTTTATTCCTCAGCAGCAAAGAAAGCTAAGGTGTAGAAAAAAAAATATGCATAAATACCCTCACAGGATTAACATTACATCATTATCTCTTAACCAATAGGAACAGTCCTTCTCTGATATCCTCTCATGTAACCTCCTCCTCTTCCTCTTTCCTGATGGTGCCGAAGCTAACAAATCACCAGTAGCAATTAACCACAAACTCGTTATAAACCAAACACAAAAAAGGTTGACAACTGAATTCTTGACATTGAATCCTTCCATAAGCAACGAGGGATCTTCCGGAACCAATCTTCTTAAACTGCGAGATCAATCGCCGTCATCAATGGGTATTTGTAGATTTCAGGCTGGAAAGGACAAAGAAAACAATGGTAAAACATGTCCTTGCCAACTATTTTCGTCTTATTATTTTATGGAAATTGAGCTGTTTGTGTAATCAGTTATATGTAAACATGTAATCGTTACTTGTTTGATATATTTACCAAATCAACTACAGAAATGATAACTCATTCTACTAAAGAACCTATTACGTACCTGGGCTGGGATACAAATTTGGTCGTATCTGATCCGGGTGGGCTAATACTCGCCTCCGTGTCCTATATAAAATCATGACTTTACGTCATGTAATTAGTAAAATCTGGTAATTTTATTAAAGGACACGCAGGCTCCTATTAGGCTAGTTCAAAGCTGTGCGATAACTATACTTGACACATGTTCCGTAGGTCGAAAATAATATTCCTTAAATGTCGATTCACGAGACCAATCTGCTGTTCTCAGGAGGTCCTCTAACCTACAGTTCAAACTGAAAACCTTTGACGCCATGGCTTCTCTAGTAGAGTGTGCGTCATACACAGTGGTATCTGTGTGCCAAAGCCATTATCAATTTCACCCAGCGGGCGAGAGTCACCGTGGATACAGGTTGGTGAGGTTGTCTGATAGCCAAAAACATTTCTGGATGCATCGGGTTCCTGAATCCCAAGGTTCGTTTCTTGTATTCCCGTAAGCAGTTCACGGGGCAGAGTTTATTGTTATGTGGGAACGAAGAGTATGAAATTGAGATAATTGACGACTTTGTACGCCTGGAGATGTTGAATGAAACTCCTGTGGGGGTAAAGGAGCGTGCATCAAAATCCAGCGCTCTAACATCGGACACTGTCTTGCAAGAGATCAGGCAAAGAAGCATGGCCAGTTTCGCTGACAGTTGTTTAAGCTTGAGTGCTTCATTTTGTGGCCAAGATTCCAACAGTTGCAGGACTGAATTGACATCCCACAGTGACGTGTATCGGGGTTGTGGTGGACGAGCAAACCGAATTCTCCGTAGGAGACGGCATACAAATAGTTGTTGACCCATCGGGGTTCCCTCTATTCCTCGATGTCCTGCTGAAATCACCGATCTGTAGACATTAATGGTTCGGTAGGCCAAGCCCTGATTATACACGTCGGTAAGGAAGTGTAACAGGTAATTTACAGGAGCACGTACGGGATCCACCTGTTGTTCCATGCACCAACTACTCCATCCGTTCCAGGCATAGAGGTAGGAGCGTCTAGTTCCAGGTGCCCAAACTCGATAGTTTCTTGTGGAGCATCTGGTACGATCCAGGGTCCCCTGAAAGGAGCCACGCTAAGAATTTGAATTGCCCCTGGGCCAGAAGGGGGTGTGGGTTGTCCTCTGAGTCTGATAGAAGGAATAAGACATCTGGTAGCAATCTCGGGAGCAGTGGTGTATCCTGGTTTTGTGCTGCCCTAGGCAGGACAAAACTCAGGCACCCCCCCGCGCTACCCCCACCCACGCAACCGCCACCCAACCCTTCCCCCCTGCTCCGCCTTCTAAATACACACACACACACACACACATTCACTGACAGACACGCATTCACTAGCTAACAGAAACACACACTCACTAACAGACACACACTCACTCACTGGCAAACACACACACTCACAGGCAAACACACACACACTAACAGACACACACTGACACACACACACTAACAGACACACACACTCACTAACAGACACACACACACACACACTCACTGGCAAACACACACACTCACAGGCAAACACACACACACACACTAACAGGCAAACACACACTCACTGACAGACACACAATAACAGGCAAACACACACACTAACAGACACACACTAACAGACACACACTAACATACACACACACTAACAGACACACACACTAACAATAACAGACACACACACTAACACAGACACACACACTAACATGTGTTTTTTTTTTTTTTAACCCCCCCAGCCTCCTTACTTTTGCTGGGGGGGGTTCTTCCTCTCCCTGGGGTCCTGGGGTCCAGTGGCTGCAGGGCGGGCGGCCGGCGAGGGAGCTCTTCCCCTGAGCGCTCTGCTCAGCTCCCTCGCGCGCCGCCAGCAGAGTGAGGCTGAGAGCCGGAATATGACGTCATATTCCGGCTCTCAGCCTCACTCGGCGGCGTGCGAGGGAGCTGAGCAGAGCTCAGGGGAAGAGCTCCCTCGCCGCCCGCCCAGCTCGGCAGCTCGGCATGTCTGTTAGCCGTGAGGCTAACAAGGCATTTGCCCTGGGCATTTGGGGGCGGCTTTTTTGCCGCCCCCTGAAAAATGCCGCCCAAGGCAAATGCCTTGTTTGCCTCGCGGCTAATACGCCCCTGCTCGGGAGGTCTGTGGACACCTCCATGAGTGTTGGGAACCACGGTTGAGCTGTCCAAAACGGTGTTATGAGGACCAGTGACGCTTGAGTACATCTGAGATGCACCAGTGTTCGAGCTATGAGGGAGAACGGAGGAAAGGCATACAATCGGCTGTTCGACCATTGTTGGAGAAAAGCATCTGCTGTTTGTGCGTCTGGGTCTGGTCTCCAGCTGAAGAATGTTGGTAGTTGGGAGTTCAACCGAGATGCGAATAGGTAAATTCGCATCGGGCCCCAGAGCGTCTGAAGTCGTAAGAACACACTGCGGTCTAGCCGCCAGTCGCTGGCGTCGTGCAGATGTCTGGAATGCCAATCCGCTACTACGTTGGACATGCCCGGGATGTATTCCGCTTGGACTGAAATATTGCGATCCAGGCAGTGTTGCCAGAACTCCTTGGCCAGATCTGCCAATATCTTTGATTTCGTGCCACCGAGGTGGTTGATGTAGCGGACTGCTGAAATGTTGTCCATTCGAAGGACAATGGAGCAGTTGGTTGCGCTCCCGAGGAGGCTCTTGAGGGTGAATGATCCCGCCATTAGTTCTAAACCATTGATGTGTAAGTTTTTCTCTGAGCATGACCAAATTCCTCTGGTGGAGGTAGGTCCGCAACGCGCTCCCCAACCGTGTGTACTCGCATCGGACTCTATGATGAAATCTGGGGCAGTCCCGAAGATTGCCCTGCCGTTCCATGCCTCCATATGTTGCAGCCACCAGGTGAGTTCCTGCTTGGCCGTGTAGTCGAGTGGCATAGAGTCGGAGTATAAGTGCCCTGAGCGTAGCTGTGTGGCTTTTAGTCGTTGCAGGGCCCTGTAGTGTAGCAGCCTCGGGAAGATTGCCTGGATGGAGGCTGAGAGGAGTCCGATTATTCTGGCTAGTTGTCGCAGTGTTAACACTGGTCTTGTGAGCGTTCTGCGGATCTCCTTTTTGATGCGTTTGACTTTCTCTGTCGGTAGACTGAGTGTCCCGGTAATTGTGGAAACCTAGAATTCCATATTTTGGGACGGGGTAAGTACTGATTTTTCCCAGTTGATGAGAAATACCAAATTTTGTAGCAGTGTCAGTGCCCATGAGAGGTGTTGTCGAAGTTGATGAACCTCGTGTGCCATGATCAGCATATCGTCCAGATAAATGATCATCCGTATGCCCCTGCTGCGTAACAAGGCGACCACCGGCTTCAGTAGCTTGGTGAAGCACCAAGGGGCCGATGAGAGTCCAAAGGGAAGGCATCGGAATCTCCATGTCGCCTTTTCCCATTGGAATTGGAGCAGGTGGCGACACTCTTGTGAGGTAGGCATCTTGTAGGTCCAGTTTGACCATCCAGTCCCCTAACCTGAGCAGGTCTCGCAGACAGTGGATACCCTCCATTTTGAAATGGTGGTACCGTACAAATGCGTTTAGTGGCCGCAAGTTGATGACTGGGCGTACTCTGCCGCCCTTCTTGGGTACCAGGAATAGGTTGCTCATGAACCCAGGGGAGGGTGAAGGGACCTGATATATGGCGCCTTTTTCTTGTAGGGTGAGAATCTCTTTGCTCACTAAGCCCTTGTCTCGTGCGGAGAATGCTATTCGCTTTATGTTCGTCTGTGCCTTGTCTAGGGCCGTAAATGTGCTTACGTAAGTGCCTAGTTCCTTAACAAAATTGTCTCTGAACAGCAAACCCTTGGCTTGCAGTCCTGGTTCGGTGAGGGCCATGTTTACGAGCTTGGGCTCGATTTTCATCAATATAGTTTTGCTCCTTTCGGTGGCTAGCGCAGCATTTGCGTTGCGGATGAGGCATATAGATCTCTGGGCCCAGCCTCTAATGGCTAATAAATCAAGAGGTGTCCCCTCATTTAAGGCCGTCTCGACCAGTTCAAAAATCTTGGCACTAGGGTCTAGTGTATCCAGCACTTTATCTTGGCAATGGCGTAGGGAATAATCAAGTCCCTTTTTTGCTTTCCAGCCAGATTTACCCAGGAATTGTGCTATTTTGGGGTCTATGTCTGGCGTGGCGCAGGCCATATCGGGCACCGTTGGGCGTGGGCATTCCGCCCACAGTTTATTTCTGGTGGCTTTATCCAAGGGCTTACAGATTCTGGCCGCTATGTACCGTGCCACATGATCGGTCGGGTACCATTCAGCCGACCTAGGGTTTTGTTATGTATCAGGGTTGAACAGAGGTTCGCCCTGGGGGTCCAAGATAGCGGATGTATCCGCGGCATCATACAAGGGTTGACTATGAATTGCGTGGTGGACTATGGCCTGGGGAGGAACCCTCCCATTCACTTGAGTCGACCTCGTCGGACTCGTTCGAAACCTCCTCAGCATCCGAACCAGAGTCGGAAGAGTCTGTTAGGGCTTTTGCCCTTTTCCATGTCCGTGCCGCTTTTGCCCAGCGGGTAGCTCGTTTTCGTGGGGGTCCCACGACCTCAGATGTGACAGGACATACCCTGTCCGTCAATTCAATTTTGGAGGCATGCTTTCCCACATTGTGGGTTTTGCTTATGGCTTTACATCCCTCTCTGTGTAAAGGACCCTCTTCTGCGGCCCTGGCATGGGTTATCTTGGGGTTGGATGCCTTAATGGCATTTCGAAATGGAGTGTGATATGCTGTCAGACATAACCCCCATTGCGGTATAAAAAGCTTGGGTGACTGACTTTGACATGGTGGCGTCTAGGAGCGAGTGGAAGTCCAGGTGCTCCAGAGGGGTCACTACGTCCCCTTGCAGGGTTAGGGGTTCAGACACCGTGGGTCGGTGGTGGGCTTTGGCATCCACTTTATCACTGGGGCCAGGGCAGAGTATTCATTAGGGGTCTGCATCATGGGACAGATAAGTGTGTATGACACAGTAGCTAATAAGGCTGGTATAGCTAACCCTCTGCAGTAGCAGTCTAGAGGCTGATAAAGGAGGAGACAAGGCAACAAGACAGAAACAAAAGATTGCACTGTTAGCTTACCGAGTGTTCCCTCAGGAATGGCCTCTGGGGGCACTGGTAAGCTGACAGGCAAGCCAACAGACCAATCAGCTTGCGCCCTCTTAATGGGCTGTGCGAGCTGAGAGGAAAAAGAGAGCGGCAAACTATTGTGTCGCCATCCCTTTAAGATGGAGACCGAGCTGTTCCCAGAGGGTTCCCTGCGCTGTGCGACCAAGTGGGGAGGGTAATAAACCAGCGGTGGAAGCCTGGGAAGGGCTTCCCCACGGAATGAGCCCTCAGGGAGGGCTGAAACAAAACACCCAAGGCGTTTCAGTGCAAATAGTGACCAACAAACGATAATAAATCAATTCAAAACATATACACATATATCAATCACAATGAAGTGTAAGAAACAAGGTGTTACTTAGCTGAGGCAGCAGAAAAGAAAGAGAGGAAGGTTACATGAGAGGATATCAGAGAAGGACTGTTGCTATTGGTTAAGAGATAATGATGTAATGTTAACCCTGTGAGGGTATTTATGCATATTTCTTTTCTACAAATAAACACCTTAGCTTTCTTTGCTGCTGAGGAATAAAAGAGATAAGCCTAATAGGAGCCTCTGTGTCCTTTAATAAAATTTGGTGATTATATCTACCTTCTTACCTGTTAAACATTTCAAAATCCTAAGGAAGGCAGAATTACTTCTGCATGGACTGAAGAAAAATGAATGACAATTACAGTGTAGTCTAAGATAGGGACTATAGGCACTTAATATAGTGGTCACTGGGCATATAGCCTGTCCTGGAGGCTGAACTTGGCTAACACCACCTCTGGTGGCTGTCACTAGAGGGGCTTCTTATGCTTGTTCAGGCAAATATTGCAGAATTGATGTTCAACATCTCCAAACAATGCATGCTTCCCCATAAAATGCATTGACTCATTAGCAGATGTTGATTGTCCACAGCTCAGCGACTGCCACGCATGAGCCTTAGCCTCCCAATGCTTCCACGTGGAGAGGCATTGGATTGGCTGAGATTATCAGTATTGATGATCTCAGCCAGCAGAGGCAGAATTGCAGCACGGAGACTGGCATGCATAGAAAAATAAGGTAAGTAAATCTGTTGTCCCCTCCTCCCCCCCAACTTCTGGGATGGGGAAAGGGGTCAGTAATTCAAATAGGTGAAAAACAGTATAGCGTTAGGAATATTTCCTAATGCAATAGTGTTCCTTTAAAATCCCAAGTAGCCATTGGCGAGTAAAAATGTAGCCATGGCTAGTAGAAATTTACTCATGGTGAGTATTGCTTAGACCCTCCATGCTTGCAATAGTGAGTCTTTTTTTTTTATTTTTTTTAAGGCTTGCTAGTAGTGTAGCATTTGAAATTTTAAACCCTGCTCCACTGAGACTGAGATGATTTCCTGGATTTGCTAGCCAGAACAAATAACCACCATTTTTAATGCATTATTGTATTGCTGATTACTGATGGTGACTGACAAATGCAGATATCCTTTTTCTGAGAAAAAAGCACACCAGATGCTGCCTCTGAATGAGCCTCATCACTCCCCATTCTGCAAAAACAAGAAAGGCTCTCTTGTGCGTATCTTCCAATGACACTGTTACAACACCAGACTTTATTTTCTATTTAAAGGAACACTCTAGGCACTAGGAAAGTCATTGGGCAAAAAATTTTGTTCGGTTCGGCACTTCCGAAATTCAGGACTTTGGAAATTCGGAACTTCAGTTTGGACTTCCAAAATTCGGCAATTCTCTGGTTCAGCACTTCCAAAATTCGGGAATTCAAGACTTCAGCAATTCCCTAACTCTACCTCTACCCCTTACCCTACCTTTACCCCTAAGCTTACTAGGGGTAGGGTTGGTGTTAGGGGTAGGGTTAGGGTTAGATTCCTGTCATCATTCCCTTAATTTTCCCTGCAATTCGGTTTGGTCCGGCACTTCCGAAATTCGGACATTCGGAAGTGTCCAAATTGCCGAAATTCGGACGAATTTAAATTCGGACCGAAACTAATTACACATATCTACCAGGCACCATAAACACTTAATCTAAATGAAGTTGTTATGGTGCCAGGAGGCCCCCAGGTGCACCTTTAAACTCAAAGAGTTAAACCGTTAGTGAAGTTGGCTCCAGTGCTAATCTCAACTCCCACAGGCAGCATCTGGCTTGTGAAGTTTCAGGTAGTGCGGTGTGCTGACACTCTCAGCCAAGCAATGACTTTCCATTCATAAAACTGGCTTGAAAAAGGTATGTGAATGGGAAGTCACTAATTGTCTGAGAGCATCAGCTCTATTACTTACGTTGATGTTTCCATTCAGAATTTTGTAGATTGATCTATGGACATAATTATATGCATGAAAACTATAAAGGAGCCAGTCAGGAGAGGTGTGCACTTGTATAGCATACCCCATCCAATATAAATTACTTCTTCCATTTCCTCAGCCATACAAACTCATAGATGATCAGTCACTCAAACATAACATGCATCTTACAAACCTCTAATAAGCCACATTCACACATGCAGAATTATACATTCTAACACATATAAAATTCCACACAATCACACCTAACTTATTACAAACACTTACATACACTGGTGTTGAAAATTTGTTTTTTTTTTCCATTTAAACATACATGAAATACATTTGCACGTGAAATATAGCTATTGACAAGGTCAGAAATAATTAATTTTAATTGAAATAATAATTGTGTCTTTCAAACTTTGCTTTGTCAGATAATTCCCAATGTGTAGCAACTACGGCCTTGAAAAACGTTTGCATTCTAGTTATCAACTTGTTAAGGTAATCTGAAGAGATTTCACCCTATGTTTCCTGAAACATCTCCCACAGGTTGGGCTGCTTGATCGCCACTTCTTACGTACCATATGTTCAAACTGCTTTCAAAACAGCTTAATATGGTGACTGTGCTGGCCACTCCACTAAAAACAGAATACCAGCTGACTGCCTCTTCCCTAAATAGTTTTTGCACTGTTTGAAGCAGTGCTTTGGATCCAATCAAGCGCCTTACACAGGGTATGGTATGCTATTGCAAACTGGAGTGATAGCCTTCATTCTTCAAAGTCCCTTTTCCCTGTTATGAACTCCCACCTTACCACTACCAAACAATCAGATTGCCTACACTATGCTTGGTAGATGGCATGAAGCACTCCTTTGGCATCTTTTGGTCTGCATCTCACCAATGTTCTTCTGTGTGATTTGAACACCTCAAACTTTGATTTGTCTGTCCATAACACTTTTTATCCAATTTTCCTCTGTACGATATGTCTTTTTCTTTGCAACTCTGCCTAAAAGGTCAGTATCCTAGAGTCACCTCTTCACTGTTGACGTTGAGACTTGTGTTTTGGAAGTAATAGTTAATAAAGCTGCCAGTTGATGACATTTGAGTCACCTGTTTGTCAAACTAGAAATTTTAATGTATTTGACCTCTTGCTTCGTTATGTAGTGGTGCCTCCCACTCTTTCTATTCTAGTTTCAGCCATTTTGCACTGTTCTGCGGAGGGAGTAGTTTCTTGGCAATTCCTCTCATAGAATAGCCTTTATTTCTCAGAGCAAGAACAGACTGACCAGTTTCAGAAGAAGGTTTTTTGTTTCTGGCCATTTTGAGACTGAAATCAAACCCACAATTGTTGATACTTAACTAGTCTAATGAAGGCCAGTTGTATTGCTTCTTTAATCAGCTGTGCTAACATAATTGCAAAAGGGTTTACTAATTATCAATTAGCCATTTAAATGTTAAACTATTAACAAACACAACATGCAACTGGAGCACAGGACAGATGGTAGCTGATAATGGACCTCTGTACATCTATGTTGATATTCCATTAAAAAAACGCAATAGTCAGAAACAAAATGGACATGGACAAAAAAGGGACATTTATAATTTACCCCAAGCTTATGAATACAAGTAGGTATGCACTAGGACACAATGCACGCTAGCAAATCTATAGGCCTTGGCCAATCAGCATCTTCTCATCAGGCCCGGACTGGCCATCGGGCACACCGGGCAAATGCCCGGTGGGCCGCGGTGGCCATGGGCCGAGGCCGGCAGGGGAGATCACAGGATCTCCCCTGCCGGTCTATGCAGGGCCGGCACTCTCCTAGCGCCGGCCCCGCTGTTTGCCATGACGGGCCGGTGGGCCCTGACCGGCCCACATGCGGCCGCCGGCGGGCGGGGAGGGAGGGAGGGAGACAGCCAGCTAGCTAGGCTGGAGAGAGGACCCGGCAGAGCTCTAACTTGCAGCTCCGCCGGGTTCCTCTCGCGAGATCCGGCGCGTTGCCATGGCAACGCGCCGGATCTCGCGAGAGTGAACTCTAGTCTCACAGGCTAGAGTTCACTCACCCACGAGGACCACCAGGGAACACCGCGTGCCGGACCCACCCCTCCCAGTCCCAGCGTGCCGGTCCCCCCCCCTCCCAGGCTAAAGGTAAGAAGGGGGGGGGGGAATAATGACTGTTTTTTGTTTTTTTTTATTTAGCCCCCCTACACACACAATAACATTTATACAGCACTCTCACACCCATCACACACAGCACTCTCACACCCATCACACACAGCACTCTCTCACACAGCATCACACACAGCACTCACACCCATCACACACAGCTCTCTCTCACACAGCACTCTCACACCCATCACACACAGCACTCTCACACCCATCACACACAGCACTCTCACACCCATCACACACAGCACTCTCTCACACCCATCACACTCACAGCACTCTCACAGAGCACTCTCACACACACACAGCACTCTCACAGAGCACTCTCTCACACAGCACTCTCACACCATCACACACAGCACTTTCACACACACAGCACTCTCTCACAGCACTCTCACACCCATCACACTCACAGCACTCTCTCACAGAGCACTCTCACACAGCACTCTCTCACACCCATCTCACACAGCACTCTCACACCCATCACTCACACACCGCACCCCTCACACACACACATACTGCACCCCTCACATACACACAGAACCCCCCAACACACTGCACCACACACATACACAATACTTCCATATACACACACACACACACACTACACTCTTAAAGGACCACTCTAGCCACCCAGACCACTTCAGTTAATGAAGTGGTCTTGGTGCCAGGTCCTTCTAGGGTTAACCCATTGTTTTATAAACATAGCAGTTTCAGAGAAACTGCTATGTTTATCAATGGGTTAAGTCTTCCCCCAAAGCCTCTAGCAGCTGTCTCATTGACAGCCGCTAGAGGCGCTTGCGTGCTTTTCACAGTGAAAATCACAGTGAGAGCACGCAAGCGTCCATAGGAAAGCATTATAAATGCTTTCCTATGCGACCGGCTGAATGCGTGCGCATTCAGCCGACAGGACGGGGCGGATCGGAGGAGGAGAGCTCCCCGCCCGGCGCTGGAAAAAGGTAAGTTTAACCCCTTTCCAGAGCTGGGCGGGAGGGGGTCCCTGAGCCACATATGCATCACATTACACCACAAACACAACACGACTAAAACCGACCTTATTACACAATACCACACCGCGACCAGCTCACTCTACACACACGCAATACCACAAGCAGGCTCCAAACACATGTACAATACTCTTTCCTGGCCTTTTGTCTCCTGGTATCCATTTATAGAGACACCAGAGACAAGTTGCAAGGAAAGACAGTGCAAGCATGTTATTAAATTTGCTTGCACTGTGCAGAACAAATACAGGACTTTTTTCTCATGCTAGAGCTCTTCAGCAGAGTTCTGCGCATGGTCTGCCCTGGAAGAGCATTGAACCAACATGCTCACTTTGAGAGGAGGCGTGTTTGTCATTGGTGATGACAAAACACACCTCCTCTGCCCCGCCCCCTTTTTAGTGGGCCGCTGTGTTAAAAAAATGCCCGGGCCGAATTTTTCTCCCAGTCCGGCCCTGCTTCTCATAGAGATGCATTGAGTCAATGCATCTCTGTGAGGAAAGTTCAGTGCCTCCCTGCAGAGGGTGGAGACACTGAATGTCTATGCTTTGCCTTGGATCATAGGCTGTTCCTTCTCAATACTATTTTCTTCCCGTCATTCTGGTAGAGGTTGATCTTAGTGTTATCTGTACAAAGAATGATGTTCCAGAAACTGCCTTGCTTTTTTAGATGGTTTTGGCAAAGTCTAATCTGGCCTTTCTATTCTATTGAGGCTTATGAATGGTTTGCACCTTGTGGTGAACCCTCTGTATTTGGTCTTGGTAGACTTGAATAATGATATGCCTAGCTTAGCTAGATGTTGTGAAGGGGTTCTTTACCATGGGATGGATCCTATGATCATCCACCACTGTTGTTTTCCGTGGACGTCCAGGCATTTTTTTGTTGCAGAGCTCACCAGTGCGTTCTTTTTTTCTCAGAACGTACCAAACTGTTTTTTTAACCACTCCTAATGTTCCTGCTATCTCTCTGATGGATTAAAAAAATAAATAAATTTGTATACAGCCTAAGGATGGTGTATTTCACTGAGCCGCATTGACCACATGTTGTGGGTTCCACAGCAACAGTTTCTATATGCGAATGCCATACCTGGA